AAATAAATATTAATATTTTTAACATAAACTATAACACTTTAAGATGTTCTGCAATATTAAAACAATTATAAATTATTATAATGTAAAATTATGTGGCTATCGAAAAAATAATTTTCATTYCGTTCGAATGCAAGATGAAAAATTTTCATTTTTTTAGTTTATTTATAATTTAAGATTAAAATTTTATTAAATTTATTTTATTAGGCACATTCTATATCAACATTCAATAAATATATAACAATACGTACATGAAAACACACTCGTATATCGGACTAACCACATAGGCACTATGTTTAATGTAAAACGGGATACGATATGGATACGAACTATAGGGTTGGGGGGGAAACCTTATTARGTATATAATAAGACATAAGTCATATCCTTGCATTTTCAAAGTAAACGATCGGACGTCTATTTTTTAGCGTCACGCGAGAATTTGGCGGAGAATAAAACACAAAGAAGATAGAATTCCGGTAACAGTCTAATACTGCCAATTATGTGGAAATAAAATCCGCGTGCTTAATTCCCGTGTCCGAATGTGTAATACACACACAACATAATACATTTTTTCCTGGTTCGAATTCCATTTCGTTGTTATATATTAAATAGACATTCCAACATACTCAAGTTATAATAATAGTAAATAGTATATTATGATGTWTGGCGAACCAACGTAAAATATATGTAGATAAGGAGAATGGATGAAAAAAAAAGTTTGAACGTATTCAAAACTTAATAATTTGTAATTAAATAAATAATAATAAAATAAAATAGGTACATAATGTTTTCCCTCGTATTATACACGCTTACTTTAAAATTGAAAACTTCCTCACAGTTAAAAAAAAAAATTACAGAAATCAAAATGTGTAATTTAGATTTTTAAATATTTATACAAAATTAACTCTTTATTGCACTATTCGTTTTGGGTTCTTAAGTGTCATGGAATCATAATATGTTGATTAATATAAATTTGGATGTTCAATATCTCGAATGTATCAATAATTGAAAACGATAATACACCTTTTATACTATAGGTAAATATACTGCAGACGTACAGTAAAAACGTAATCAGWCAAAGTTATCCAAAAAATTAGAACAATATGCATGTAAGATATAACTACTGCAGTCTGCAGTAGATATTCAGGAAAAACTTCATAKTAAACAGTAGATATTGTATATGGTAAGCGTCACACAATTATAGATACCAAGTTAACTTAAACTACATAGTCTCCGTGAGTTGTAAAAATAATAATATGCAAAACGATAGTATACTATCTTGGGCATAAATAATTCACACAAAAAACAAAAACAAACAAAAATGAAATTTGCGATAAAAGGTCATTATATGATTTGCGCGAAATGGTATACTAAAATTGTAAATTGCTCCAATTTAAAATAGTTAATAATAACTTTTTTTAAACTTTTTCATATATGAACACATACATTTATCTATTTCAATATATTATATTATTATATTCATTAAACAAGTTAATTTTAGTATATACATTTCAAGAAAAATATTTAAATTTAGATACATCAAATAAAATAAAAAATGCAGGCTATTTACAATCATATATATATATATATACGTACCTACTCTGTATATAAATTAGTAGTATTTTAAGCAATCATAAAATATGTGAAAATCTGGAATATTATAATTAATTACTCTTACATTGCTCATGTTCACGTTACGTGATGTATTTATAATTTATAAATTTAAAATTGTTGTAAGCTCGGGAAATGTAGGTATATGGTAAATACTACATTCCAAAAATTGAAATTGAGCGTGATGGAAGTTAAATACAACATTTCGTTTTCTGTCTAGTTAAGCAGATTAAAATTATTAATATCTAGATAAAGTGCAATTAATTTTTGTTTTTTTTTTTTTGCGCATATTACATATACCTTTTAATGGTGCGAATTACAAGTGCTGAAATTAACCCAAAATAACAACTCCTAGAATCTTAATTATTACCATAGATACTGTGAACTACTCGGTAGACTTTTTGTCGAATAGGAAATTTTTTATAGTGTATACGGTTTCGAAGAAGTCTGTAGATTATCTGCACTCTGCAGCGCACAGTTTTTGCAACCCCAGCTATAAAATAATATAACAAAATTAGCGTGCGTACGTGCATTCTCTCGGCTCCTGTGACAAAAATATTAAAACGTACGGATGTGTAAATAACATAATATATATATAATAGTATACAGGCACGAATGCACGATGTCCGATAATTATTTCAAAAATAATTTCAATTGATAAAAAGCGAAATACGCGATCATATTATTTGACTGAAAATTTCGTTTTGCAATAATTATGATAATATATCGATGTTGGTAATACACCGCATAATCGTAGCATTGTTGTAAAATGTATATTATTTTCACCATCATGAAAATATGCGTGTAATAAATATCGTTGCGGAATTAAAGCAATAGTAGGTAGGTAGGTACTGCCGTACTGGACTGATCAAATTATAGCAGCACAAGTGTAAATTACGCTCTATATAGGCTCTCAGCGGCATGTTCAAACGAATTTTCACAATAATAAATAATATTATGTCCACACACAAGAGCACAATAGAAAACTCATACCGCAGCGAATTGACTGGGAAAAAGAGCAGAGTTTTCTTTTTCGATGCCTAACACGATAMATTTTGACCGGGGAAACGTATGATTAAGATTTAATAAAACAAATATAATTCAATACGAAAAATATAGTTGACGTTTAAGTCGTACTTATATTTTATACATTATATATTATCTTGATTAAAATAAAAATTGTTTTACATTTATCGATGAATTTGGATGAGATATTAACATTACGGTAAGTACATAAATACGGGATTTACGTTGAATGCTTAAATTAAAATATTTCTAAAAACTAAAATTATTGGTCAATGTTAAAATTAAATGATTAGATCTTCTCCTGATTCTATATGGARTGGAAATAGAGCTAATAATTTATTTTAAATGGTTTATATTTTTAATGAATAAATAATAATAAAATTAAGGAACGTATAAAATTTGAATATAAAATTAAACTGTTTACATTTATCAGGAGTAGTTACCTAAGTAGGTAGATCATTATTTATTGCATATTACTTGTGTTATTTCAAAACTATATATTAGGTGTCTATATGTAATATTACTATTTATGAATTGTTTTATTACATCATTACATATTATAAGTTATTTTCAAAATCAAGAATGAAGAAAAATAATAGATACAATTTTTAAAAATGTAATTACAGAGATTTCGAATTTCTTAAATAATAATTAATATTTGTACAAACTAACAAAATTATTGGTGTTGTTGTTTAATACTTTAATTTGCCATCTAATATATTATAAGATTCATTTTTAATTAGTTAAGTCAATTAATTTATTTTAAATAGATTAATTTACCAATTCAAGGTTATAAATTAATACTCCTAGGTATATGAATAATTTAACATCAATAAATTAAAAATATTGTACTTTAAATACCTAGTACCGACATTTTTGATTAATTTATTAAAATACATTAGATATCAAGTTTTTATAACACATATCAATTTTAATTTAGACGATTAGTAAAAAAAAAAAAACAGTACCATTTTAGGCATTATAATAACTCAGATAAACTAYGTAATCTTTTAAGAGAAATATTATGATAAATTTTTGTGTTTATCACTGCCATATGGCACCTACCATATGGCAATATACCATGTTTCCATGTTATTATTAGCAGTGCTGATAACCTTGATCCGTAATATTATTTATGAACATTTTCAATTAATTAGCAAACAATCATTTCAAAGAATGATATAATTTAAATATTAAATACTGTAAAAAAATGAAAAACTTCTTATTTATTTAATACAAAATTTAAAATGATTTTAATTACTAAATACTAAGCTATATTTCTTGAAATTGAAGTATGCTTTTAAATTGATTTATAAATCAAATAATAGTACTTATAATAATTTAAATTTCTGACAAAGATATTATTTTTTTATTACACACTCATCAATGCATACGAATTCTACGAATTATAATCATTTATTATTATATTGTATAAATAAAGCCTACTAGTAACTAAGCAAAACGATTGAAATGCAATGTCGTAAATTTGTTAAGCCATTGTTATTTATTTACATAATTTCTACTATTACATTTACAAATGACGAAAATGTTACTATTCAATCTATGTATAAAGTATATGGCATATTACTATATTAGCAAGACAATATAGGAAATAGGACATCATATACTGCCTATATAATATAATGTAATTATAATACAACAAACATTTAATTGTGTCACCATCTAGTAATATTATGGTAAGACATACTCAACAAATTAAATAACACACATACATATTATCAAATCATTTAGTTATTCAAAATTTATTATCTGTTGAAATTATTATTTACTATATGAGGAATATTTTTAATAATACATATTACACATACTACGTATTAAACTAACATAGTACCTACCACGTATTTATGTAATGTAGTTAATTACGTTGCTTTATTTATTTATAATCCCAAAACAACATCCTTATACTTCTGCCAACAATAGCTACATAGCTGATGCACATTAAACGTAATTATAATGTACCTATTTGACATTTGGCAAATTAATCCATACTGGAAATGGTAACAATATTTAAGTGAATTTTTCAATAACGTGATATACTCGTATAAACAATACCGGTGGGATTTAATATTTAATGTCCCATCGTCTTTAAGACTGTAATTGAAAAGCTACGTAGAGTTAATAATCCCCTCGTACACGTGTATAATTCTTGTGGAAGAATTTTGAATATAAACAGATATTAGATAGAACGATCCCTTTTTGAGATATTATATTATATACTTTATTAACGCAGTATTAAAGTGGTATGTGATTATATATAAGATATATTTTATTAAATATTACATAGTAATATATTCAATGTAAATATTTTTACAGGTAATAGATTTTAACGATTCAAATATGTGGTACTTAACTGTTATTAGTCTGATAACAATATTGGTAGTAATAATGATACTGCGATTGGAAGGCAGAAGAAAAAGAGTATTGGCAAATAAAATACCCGGTCCCGATGGTTCAATTTTTATTGGTATGCTACCATTATTTCTACAAGGACCAGAAAAACTTATCTTAAATGGATTTAAAGTGTACCAAAAGTAAGCAATTAAAACACCCTCCAAACATAAAGCTGGTATAAGGTATAATGTATAATATTTTTGTAGGTATGTAAACTGAGATTTCATAAGTTCATAAACCAAACCAATAATATTACTAACAGTGACTTGGCGTGACGCATTGGCTGCTACCAATCGCGGAATGCGACTGGGAGTACCTAAGTAACGGCCACATCTACTAGCTCCCGGATGGGTGACCACCCGGGTTCATATAGTAGTTAAAAACCTTGCCACACATAAACGTGTTTTCTATCTACCGTAACAACCGTAAAAACAACCTACCATACCAAAACCTTACCCCTACCACAGTTCATAACCCCTACAACAGCTAATGGCTTTAGTCGCCGGGTTTAAGATCAATAAAAAAATAAATATTACTAACCTTCTCAACACTACTAACAAACATATAACGCTAACATGGATTCCTAGCCACACCGGAATAGAGGGGAACGAAAGAGCAGACATGATGGCGAAACAAGCAACCAGTGATCAAACTACCGAAATATTAAATTTTCTTTCCAGAGATGACCTTAAAAGAGAAGCTTAAAATATCATAACAAACTTATGGCGTAAGGAATGGCATTTACTGAGGGACAACAAATTAAGAGAGATTAAACCCACCACCGATAGATGGATTAACCCAATGAATAATAACAAGAGAACAAGATATGATTTTAACCCGCTTAAAAATCGGACACACCTGGTGTAYCTACTAACACTTCATGGAACAGACTCAGAATCATGAATCACCTGTGGGTCCGAAATCTCCATTAAACATCTTCTATTAGAATGTCGCCAATTTAATGAAGAAAGAGCCAAATACAACATTCCAACTAATAGCTTTAAATGTCTCAACAATGATCCTCTAAASATCAACAACGTACTTAGATTCATAACAGACATTAATTTATACAAAACCATATAACAAAACCTTATTTTTTTTCTTCTCTCTCTTTTGATATCTGTTTATTTCTATTTATTAATTCATGATTGTTATTTATTATATTTATACACACTCCAAACCAAAAAAATCAGTTTGTAAGTCACCCAATGCGGCCAATGACCTATGCAGTTGAGGCCTTGTTCTTTACAACAACAAAAAAAAAACTCTTTTGAATACATTTGGATTTTCTAGGTATGAAAAATCTTTATTCAAAGTATGGGTCGTAAATAATCTATACATTGTGCTTACGCGACCTGAAGATATAGAGATGGTTCTTACTAATCCAAAATTACAAAAGAAATCTAAAGAATACTTGGTTTTACAAGAATCCATCATGGGCCAAGGAATATTTTCAATCGATGACATAAAAAAGTGGAAGAGCAACAGGTAAGTTTTCATACATTTAGATAGGTACTAATGGGATAATATGAGAATTAAAACTACAAATAAGTATAAACACACTACGATGAACTTATGTTATGTATGATAAAACACAATTAATTCAATACATTTTTGCATTTAATTGTCATTTTATTTTAGGAAAATGGTATCTGGGGGATTCAATTTTACAATTATAAAATCATTTATACCAATATTTTACGAAGAATCTAATGTCCTTAATGACATTCTGAAAAAAAAATATGATTTGAAATCGAATGAGTGTGATATAAGTGTTCCTGTTAGTATGGCTACAATGGAAATGATCGGAAAAACTGCATTAGGTGTAAAATTAAATGCTCAAAATGGCGGTCGTCATCAATTTGTCGAAAATTTACAAACAGCCATGCACGTGAGTAAGATGGAATTATTATGTATAAGTATTTATCTTAATATTTAATCACTATTATTTTAGGCATGGGAATATAGAATTTCACATCCGTGGTACTTGAGTAAAACATTATTCCGACTTTCATCAGWMAAACAAAAACACGATCAAAGTCAAAAAATCATAAACGAGTTCACAGACGAAATAATTAATAAAAAACTTGATGAATTGAACCAAAATGCGAATAATGAAAAACAAGTAAAAACATGTGACGAAGATGTTTGTCGAAAAACAAAAACCGTTATAGAAATTCTATTAGAACACTATCATGAAATGTCACACGAGCAAGTACGAGATGAACTTGTGACCATCATGATTGGTAAGTATGAAAATATATGAAACCTGGTCAGTTATCATTAAAATCTACATAATTTATATAGGATTATTCAAGCTCGTGCGCAGGATTAAATAATAGGGAGTATTTTTTAAAAAAAAGTTAAAAAATAGATACATCAATAATTAGAAAATTGTATTATAACATATTTATATTTATTATTAATTTTGTAAGTACTTACATTATATGTACTTATATTAAAAGTTATGCATTATTACAAATAAGGTTATAAAATATTACATAGGTATAGGTAATAAATCATAAATGAATAACATGACATTTTGGTCATGGTGGGGGGAAGGGAGTTTAAACCTACGTATATTATTAGTTTATACATTCAAAACATAAGATACATTTTTCATCAAAAAAGATTATATAATAACAAAATCTAAACGTATATAATAACTAATAAGTAAATAAAGTTGGTACCAGCGCACAATTAACTGAATACGGAATGCTGTTTTTAAAGACTAAGTCGTTAGATACCTAATTATTTCAGAATTATTTTTAATTGTATTATATTTCCTCTTTTTAATTTGTATGAAGGTATCCGTATTCGATGTTATTAAAAACTAATATATTATACTTCGACTAGATACCTATATTATCTTATTTAGTTATGAACATATTTTCAATTTGATTACTCGGTTAATTTTTCTAACAATATGTAATACACTCAAACATAAGACATTTATATTTATTTGCATTCGAGTTACATTACAATAAATTATATTTTAAGGAGGACAAGAAACTACTGCTATGGCCAATGCATGTGCAATTTTTATGTTAGCTCATCATCCAGATGTACAGAATAAGGTAAATATATTTTATCAATTCATTAAGTGCACAACTTTGCTTACTTAAATTATAGTTGTATTTCTTTTCGACTTATAGGTATTTGAGGAATTGCAATCGATATTTTCGATTGGAGATCATAATAGACCACCAACATACGAAGACTTACAACAAATGGAATATCTAGAACGAGTTATCAAAGAAACATTACGAATTTTCCCTCCTTTGCCTGTGTTTGGCAGAAGTTTAGATAAAGAAATGAAAATTGGAGAAAATTTGTGTCCAGCAGGTATTTTAGTACCTTTACCAAATATATTTTAATGATTTATATTAATACTTAAATTTAAATAATCAAGGTTCAACACTATTAATCTGTCCACTATTTATACAATCAAGTGAGCAGTACTAYACTGATCCAGAGAAGTTTAACCCAGACAACTTTTTACCAGATACATGCCGCAGTCGACATCCATATACCTTCATACCATTCAGTGCGGGATACAGGAATTGTATTGGAATCAAATATGGCATGCTCCAAATGAAAACCGTTATATCGACACTAGTGCGAAATAATACATTTTTCCCGTCAGAAAGATGTCCCACGCCTAAACACCTAAGAGTAATGTTTTTATCGACACTTAAATTTGTCGACGGTTGCTATGTCAAAATAGTACCAAGAACTTCGTAGAAAAATATAATATATAATAATACATATTTTGTTCATTAAATTAGTAAAAGTATTCTAAAATTAGAATGTTTTTAAGATTTTTTGATACTTCAAAAATAATAATTCGATTTTCATTTAGTATTAGTTATATATCTAAATATTATATTTATAATTATATAAACAGCGAAATATAATATGTACCTATTCTTATTTATTATAATTTAATCTAAAGATATTTTTCTATAATAAATTGTACATGTACTATACCTTTGTATCTACCTCCGAAAAATGTCAGGTTTACATCATATAATATAGGTTAATATATTAAAATTAAAATGACACAGATTTAATTTAATATTAATTCAAATGTTCAAATGTTTTTTGAGCGTTATTCAAATTACATTTATGTTTATTTTTTATTATATTATATAAGGCTTCAACAACAAAGGTTTTTAGCCTAAATTTAAACGACATTTAGAAAAATTAAACTTATATATATTTCATTTTAGAACAAGTAATTATACATTATTTATAGTGTTTTATGTTTTTATTAAAATACATTTATATAGATTTAGCAATTTTCAATCTTTTATTGTGGTTAGCGTATAGCTTTAAAGGTTTATAGATCATTTTAATTGAGATGACATAATGCTTGCTCCAAAACTACTGAGCTTAAAAATATTTAATTTAATTTAACAAACAATTTTATACACAATATAATATGAATAGTTGCATAAATTCAGTTATGAATATATTCTGCAAACAAAATAGATTTTGATACAAAGACATGATTAATTTTGTATGCATTTAAATTTCAAATTTCAAATGTTCAARAATATTTTCAATTAAAAAATCATTAGTTTTATTTTCATAACTAATATTAGACATTTTAATAAGAGATTTCACATAAGATTTTCTGCCTCTAATAAAAAAAAAGCTTACCGTAAAGTTACGCTATTTATAATCTTGTTAAATATTTTAGATTTTTATTTTTATTAATCTTTTTTAAATATTAAATTTTATTATTAACAAGTATACTATGATGACACATCGTCTCCGCCTCAATGACGTATTTATGGGGGGAGACAGATGCATTTTCGTCTACCASCAAGACGCTTTTTATTGTTTAGCTTAATGCATATTTATTTTTGATTATATAATATGTTTTCAACAATATATTTGTTTGGATATTCGAAACAATTTAAGATATAACTTATCAACTTATTCACGTTATAATTATTTCAAAGTTAGGTATTTAATATCTCCCACCTCCCACGGCTCAATAACTTTTTACAGCTACGGATAATTTGATATCATTGAATTCGAAATATTCAAACATAATAAATCTATTGAAATAACGGATCGTGGAAAAAAATGACACGGAAAAAAACGTCACGGTAAAAACCGACACGGGTAAARAACGTCACGGAAAAAAACGTCAAAAATCTATTATTTCTCAAAATCACAATCATCGTTTTTAAGTTCATTGATAAAATAATGGCACAATATTACTATAATGCATCCAATTGTCGGCAAAATGCAGGAAATTCTTCATCCGTTTTATAATCATTTATTAGTCCCATTTTTTGAATGTGACGATGTGTTGCTTGTTTGAGATGATAAAAACAACCATTCACCTCTACGTGTTCACCTATTACCGTTTTTATTACATTTATAACTGCTTTTTCGAAATCAACATGACGTACGTACGTAGGGTCAAAAAAAATATTCTTTTCTGCGCATTTTTCCASTAAACAGTTTAACATTCTCTCGTAAGTAGACTGGGGTTTTATTAACGAGCAAGTAATAAACGGCAGTAACAAAAATACCATTAATTTGTATTCTTATTACATAAAGCTGCATAAAACCTTTAGGTAACAAAGCAAAATTACCGTTCATATACCATTCATTAGACTTGGATAAATCTACGACAGTTATTTGGTATGGGTTCGATAAGACGCTCGGGCTATAATTGTTGTTAGGTACCTATATAGTATAATAAATAATAATAATACCCTCTACTACATTACTTATTAATTATTATAACTTATAACTTTGTCGTTTTTTTCCGTGTCATTTTTTACTGATTGCCGAAATAACATACTCGTAAACTACTGTACAGCAGAGCGGTCCAGCTTTATACATATTGAGTTATTAGATATAAGAAATAAATATAAAACATTTACTACGCTTTGAATCTAAAAAAAAAGACTAATTAATTAGAAATTTTAATTATTGTAGGTACCGAGAGAGAAAAAACAAATTGGAACAAATAATTTWAAAAAATAATAACTATGAATAATCTGTCAAATTTTTTTTAAGAAATGTGAATTTGACTTCGTTATCAGTGGCGCCAAAATATATATTTACCTATGACAGCTGTCATAGATGATTTTAGTAGGTAGGAGGGTAACGTTTGTCATTTTAAATATATTACGATATGGATAATTGCATGTATTAGATATTTAGATATTACTGTCAATTGTAAACTAAAAGTTGATAATATTTCATAAAAACTATAAGTTAAGGTAATTATAAGAAATAGGTGGGTGTCAAAATTTTATGTGGAGATGTCTGATGTCATAGGTAAAATTTTGGACTTTGGCGCCACTGTTCGTAATCCATAGGAATACTAGGTACTATAATATTATGTTAATTTGAAAAAATACAAATATACTTTGTACACATATGTGATATGTGTAATATGATCTTAAAGTAGGTATGGCATACCCAGTACCCACTGACTACTACATTATATTGTTCATCTCGTTCCCAAAAAACTATAGACATAATATTCAATATATTGATTACTTGCATTTATATAAAAACTAAAACCTAAATTTTAAATAATTTTACTAGCGTTATGTCGTATATAAATATGCATGTGCAGTGTGCAGTTTTTATTTATTTATTCAATCATCATGAGCTAATTTCAGCTAACGCAGAGAACATTTATTTTTCCACGATTAAACACGATGTATCATACATAATTATTATTCGTCTCTCATAAAAAAATTATTATTTTTTTTATATATCTTTTTAGTTTTTATTATCTGCACATTACAAATTTATTAATTCTGAACACAGTAATGGTAAACGCTTAACGCCTAACTTTATACTTTTATAAAAGTAAAAGCGCGTTATAAAATCACTACAATTTACAAAAAAATTAAGGCCTAGGTTTTCACATGGGCGACGGGTGGCATCCTATATACAGAGCGTGTTTCTAGGAAACAACGACATAAAAAGAACATCAAATTTATTAAACTAAAAAATCACAAATATCATTTTTAAGATTAATAAGTTATCAAATTTAAATATCAACAAATCAAAAAGTAAATAATATCTAACAATAATCAAAGTTTTTATTTAATTTTGAATCTAGTAATTGCACAATTTGTATGAATATTTGTACAATAAGTAGGTACAAATGATGTTGTGGATTTATAACAAATAATAATAAACCACAAATATCGTATAGTTTAAAATATTAATATGTTGAAAAATTGGTGTCTATTCCATTTAAATAAAATTTTCCTAATAAATCACAAATATCAGGGTTTTCTAATAATTGATTAATAATAATCCTAACATCCACGGTAATTCRCAATAAAATCAATTTAAAAAAGTTGATATTATAAATTATTATATAATACATCTAACGCAGAGAATAATAATTACAGTAGTAATTAATTTTAGAATAGGTAACACAAAGATATTCTAAATAATAATTTAGTGTTTATATCATTATACCATATTAATTGGACTTGTATTAGTACAAACAATTTTTAAAAATAATATAAAACTTTTGGATAAAATTAAAATATATTTTAGTATGTATTTTCTGTACATTATGTATTAGTGTCGTGAATTTGATCTCATCAAACATTTTTAMAGCTTTAAATTAAGAAACAGAAATGGAATCCCTGAAATTAAAGGCGATTTCAAAATGAGTAGGTTTAGGCACACTCATTAGCGTAAACAAAAATTGTCATAAGGTGGGGGATAAATATCATTACTCTATATCAGCGGTTCTCAAACTGTGTACCGCGGTGCACAAAGGGCACCACGAGAACTTTCTAAGGGCGCAGTGGTCTACGGCACATAAAAAATAATTTAATATGTATAGAATTTTTTTTCAAAAATTTGTTATTAAGAGGACGCCACACCCGCATGTGTTGTCTTCGTCGTACAAGTGCGTAGCATAGCAAATTTTACGCTCTCATCGGCTTTTTATTATATTTTAATTTTAAAGCGAGTAATGAGTATTTTAAAATTGTAAATAATTTATATCTAAAAATACTCATAACTCGGCTTAAAATTAAAATATAATAAAAAGCCTATGAGATGCACTCGGTAATAATCTTGCCTTTAATTTTTATAATAGGTCAATTCACTCTAAATTTTAAAATAACGGAGATAAACGTGATCTGCTGAGCGTAAAATTTGCTGTGCTACGCACTTGTACGACGGAGACAACACATGCGGATTTGGCGTCCTCTTAATAAATATTTTTTTGTCCTATCTTTCATGGTATTCACAACAGCGCACCGCGGAAAACATTCTCTATATTCCATGATAATGATGAATTTATTACGCTATATTCATTATTTCTAAGAAAAATTAAAAGGTAATGCATCCCCCTCGAACATCACCAATATTAACAGATTATAATATACAATATGGAAGGATCCATTCCCGATTACCCCCCTCTAGCCCACCCTTCCGGAAACAGGCATATTTACAACTTAAGTCAATCGTGACAAAAACTTTTTAGTATAAATTAAAGATGTCAAATCTAACCTAGTAAAAGATAATAACAGAAAACAACTCAAATTCTCAACAAATTCACCTCAGTGGCTCTGTTATTAGGTTAGGTTCGGTCGTAGATTAGTATAAAAAACATGAAAAAATATCATGACAGGGACGGATTGGCCGACCGGGAAATTGGAAAATTCCCGGTGGGCCGCTGTCTACATTTATAATTCAATATTATTAACTATAATATTGTAATATAATTA